AACATCTATTAACGAATCGAGGCTTAGACAATTTTTTTTGGCTTAAATATTGAGTTGGCCGTTTTTAAAAATCGGTTTAAATCGAGCCATTTAACAACACTAATTTCTAAACATTCTGAAATACATTTCCGGTAAAATTAGATTTTTAATTTTAAAAAGCGTGCTCAATAATGATTTAAAGTTGAAAAAATAACACATTGCCGCTAACATATTTTATTAAATTATTTTGAAAATAAATAACACACCCCCCTCCCCCCCGTCTCTTTCTCTCAAAATCTCTTTTTTAAAATAAATTTTACAGTGTGTTTGTGTTTATACATTAATCCGTAATTTAATAGAATTTTTATCCATAAATTTTATATCCATTAAACTGAAATTATATCGTTTAAAACCATTTTAATATTTTATTTAGTGTTATTAATCGACTAACTAATGGTTATAGTCGAAAAATTCGACTAAAACTTTAGCCACAAGTCGACTAACGACTAAAAACTTTATCTAGTTAACTAAGTTGATCTATTTTCGGCTTAGTCGACTAAATCAAATTTTTGAGCCTAACCGAACCTGCATCACTGTATAGTCGGGGTTAGTGATGTTAATTAGTCTAGCTCTTCCGACACTTGAGATATCAGGGAAAATAATCCATAGAAAAGGGACAATTTCCATATTTATTCGCTTCTTGTTTTTTTTAAAAAAAATTTGTAAACGTATTAAATTAAAATTTAAATGTGGATGGAAAAGGGATGATTATCATAATTGTTATTTTTAAGCTTTTTCGAATTTTTTTGCTGAAACAAGCTGGTTTTAAAAAGTGCGAGTGGACTGACGGGTTAAAAAAATTTTAACGGGCAGGTTAAAAAAAATTTTGAGGTGTTATCGTCTGGAGAAATTAATGAGATAATAAAACTTGTTGGATTTGATTTGCATAGAAGAATATAACATCGACGTGGATAAAAATATGATTTCACCCGTTTTTCTAAAATCATAGAAATTAAATTTTAAATGCAATGTTTGAAATAGGTGTTCACGTCAAAATTAAAGCACAACAGAAGGGTAGATGAGGCTGTTAGAGAGGAGAGAACAGTATTTAATGACAAAAATTTAAATCTTAGAGTAAGGAGATTTTAGCATGACTATAGGCTACTTACTTTATTTTAAAATTTATGAACAATTTATTTAAATTTCATTACTTTTAAAAAATTTATTATAATGGTCTCACTTATTTATATAAAGATCTCACTTGAGGAAGAGGATATACTTTGATATTCAACTTTTGTGGAAACGGCAATAAATAGATTTGCCAATGCTACCAAAAGTTAGAAAAATATTGGCAATTCTATTATAGGAAGGTATTAAACAAATAGGAACGTATTTGAACTAGAGATCTGCAAAGTTAGGCCCGGCCCGAGTCTGTCCTGGCCCGAACGGGCTGGGCTTGGGCCTAATTCTATTTAAAATAATCGGGTTCAGGCCGGGCCTAATATTTTTAAAAAAAATCGAACCGGGCCGGGTCGGGAAATTCTTTTAAATATGTCTCTATTTATCAATTTTTTATTGAATTTTTTATTTAAAATAAAAATATTGGATTTTATTTATTGAAACTAAACGACATATAACATATGCCTTTTATTTTGAGTAATTATAAAAATTAATTTCTATATTTAAATAAATTCGGGCCAGGCTGAGTCGGTAAATTTTTCTTAAAAAAATTTCTGGTTCGGGTCGGGCAGCAAAACTTTTTAAAAAAATTTTGGTCAGGCCGGGCTTGAAAAATTAGGCCCGATGCAAATCACTAATTTAAACCCAAAAATGTGGATTCATTATTATTTTTGCATTGTAATTACAAATAATATCAATAAATAATAATTTTATATTATAAATATTTTATTTATTTAAAATGCGCGTTTACTATATAAAAAATATAAAGGAAAAAATGTATAGATTTATATTACATAATATCATTTTAAAAGTTCGATGTCCCAGCAATCAATGAATAAACATTTCTTCAAGGTGATGGATGAAAAACCGTTTCGTTTTTTTCATACATTCCACCGCCTTGCTAAAAATTCTTTCACCTGCAACACTCTTAGTTTGTGTCTCTGGCCATTAAAGATAAATTTGGGTATATTTTGCTATTTTTAAGTCACCAATCGAGTACATTGGTTAACGGGCTAGCTATGTACTCTTTTAAATATAAATCTATTCATCTGTTATAGGATCTGAATATTCATAAACACTCCTAAATAATCAAGACAAATATATAACTATGTAATCATATTTACCTTCTTTGTTTATTATGTTTACGCACTGAATACGGTATATCTTCATTATAAAGCTCATAGAAATCGTACACTGACGACCCGTACATTATACTGTTATATTTCGTATATAACGTTTGGAAATGTATGAAATAATCAACATTATTTATGGATTTGGGCAAAAACATTTTCTTTGTCTTTGGGTTTAACAAACACGATATAGTTTGAAAGAGAATTCATATATTCCATATATATTTTGACTTTTTTAACATTACACCAGCAGCATTTTTCAATATTTCGTTGCCATTATTTTCATTAACTTCTTCTAATGTTTTAACAATTTCATCTATAAATAAAACTGCCGACCCAATTGTTGTATTTGTATCTGAAAAAATTTATTGGGTAATTTTATAGAATGGTTTCAAATTTTTTTTAATATCTATTAAATATTGGGCCTCTTCATTATTTATAAAAATTTGGTTGTCAGGAAGGCTTCCTTTCTTGCCTAAATTATTTACCGCTTTATTCTATAAAAAAATAATATAATGAGGTTAGTTATTACTTTGTTCAAAGAAAAGGTATCTGGCCAAATTTATAAATAATGCTGATTATTTCAAAAATTTCCAAACGTTATATACGAAATAACAATACAATGTCCGGGTCGTCAGTGTTCTATTTCAAAGAGCCTGATAATGAAGCCATACCTTATACATAATACATTAAGAAGGTAAATATGATTACAAAGTTATATATTTGACTGGATTATTTAGGGCTATTTACGAACAAATCCTATAACAGATGAAATATATTTAAAAGAGTAAATAGCTAGCCCGTTAACCAGTGTTCTCGAATGTGGCTTAAAAATAGCAAAATATAACCAAATTTATCTTTAATGGCCAGAGACCTTTTGGCCCAGCAAACTAAGAGTGTTGCAAATGATATCATGTTAACATTTTTTAAATCTATACATTTTTTTCTCTATATTTTTTGTATAGAAAAAGCGCATTTTTAAATATTTATAATATAAAATTATATTTATTAATATTATTTGTAATAATGAATCCAATTTTCTGGGTTCATATACGTTTCTATTTGTTTTTAATACTTTCCTATATAGAATTACCAATGGTAAATCATTTTATTGCCGCTTCCACAAAAGTTGAATATCAGTTAAGTATATCCTCTTCCTCGAGTGAGATCTTTATATAAATAAGTGAGACCATTAATAGTAAATTTTTAAAAAGTAATGAAATTTAAATAAATTGTTTATAAATTTTAAAATAACTAAGTAACCTATAATCTTGCTAAATTATACAAATCAATCTCCTTACTTAATAGTTAGATGGTTTGTTCTGTCATTAAATACTGTTCTCTCCTCTCTAACAACTTCATTACCACTCTGTTATGATTTAATTTTGACCTTGAATGCCAGCTATTTCAAACATTATATTTAAAATTTAATAAATGAATTTTCTTTGCTTTTGGAAAACGGGTGAAATCTTATTTTTATCTATGTCGATGTTATATTATACCATGCAAATCAAATCCAACAAGTTTTTTTATCTCATTAATTTTTCCCAACGATAACATTGACAACAATTATCGGTACTTTGGTATTAAAAATGTTAAAAAAATTTTTAGCCCGCCTATTGTTAAATTTTTCTTAACCCGTCCACTCGCACTTTTAAAATTATTTAGCTAGTTCGCCCAATTAGATGGACGGGCGTGGGTTAAAACCAGCTCGTTTTAGCAAAAAAATTATTCGTTTAAGTCGACTAATTAGTTGATAAAGTTTTTCGTAAAATTTTTCTACTATACCTATTAGTTAGTCGTCTGTTAGTCTACTAAATCTAGTCGATTAACAACAATAATGAAATTATTTGTAAAAGTTATATGAAAATACAATCATAAAATAACCTAAAACAATATAAATCGGTTTTTTAAAAAATATCGGCCCGATCCGATATTTTAAAAACGCTAAATATCGGTGCTGTTCCGATATTTGATATCAGCACAGCCCTAATTATTTGATATTATCAATATATAAATTTTAAAAAAAATTCTGAGAGCGGGTTAAATTGCTGGTTGATTTGATATGAAATTCATTCATTATTTTATATATTAGACCCTAAATAAGATTGCCATTTTTTCATCAGGGATCCAATCCGTAATGAATTTAGGTGCTGATTAGGATAAAATAGGTCTTAGATTTAGGTTAGGCTGTTAAAAAATTATCAATTCGAATTGAACTTCTGGAAACCGATTCGAATTTCTAGAATCCGATTCTAACTTTCATAGATTATTTTTCAATTTTATCTCTAAAACATACATAAAGCAACAACATTTATTTTATTATAATGCACAAACGAATATAATTGACGCCGAACAACTAAAATTCCAAGATCGTCTATTAAATTATAACAAAATTTTATATTGTTTAGAACATTTCTATAAACTAATTTGGCTATTGGTGGCTGATACTGGGAAATCACAATTGATTGATACCAAAAACAGTTGAAATATCAAATGTTCAAACCAGTTCAGGGACTCTTTTGGAGGTTTAAGTTAGGGTAACAAAAAATTTGACAGTTTAGGTTCATTAAATAATAGCGGTGGTTTAGATTCGGTATGGGTCCCTACTGAAAACTATCCCTTTATTTCTAAGCAAAAAGTATTAGCTAATCTATATTAAATCCAACTTATTTTTGGATATCATTCTCAGTTTTATATTTTTTTTAATAGGTATTCAATGATTCTATTCATGGACATATAGAAATGCATCCTTTGTGTGTCCAAATTATTGATACCCCAGAGTTTCAAAGATTAAGAGCCATTAGACAATTAGGAGGTTGTTATTGGGTGTTTCCGGGAGCAGCTAATAACCGATTTGAACATTCTCTTGGGTAAATTTGTTATATATTTATATATAATATCTTTGCTACCAATCTAATATCATAGCGTAAGTTATTTAGCGGGACAATTAATTCGGCATTTACAAACCAAACAACCTGAATTGAATATAACTGAAATCGATATTTTATGTATCGAGATTGCTGGATTATGTCATGATTTAGGTAAACTTATATTAAATATTATATTCAAAAATATTATATAGGTCATGGGCCCTTTTCTCATCTATTTGATAGACTATTTTTACGATATATGAATCCCGAATCCACTTGGACAGTACTTGAAACTTTGATTTTAAACATTTTATGTTGGTTTATAGATTTATAACTCATGCTAGATAAATCTTAATATTTGAAAACATTTTATAAATATTATTTGCTATTTTCTCAAATATTAAATTAAAAAATGGCTATTTAGCAGGTTTATAAGGAAGGTATCCATAAAAATACTTGAAATTTAATTTAAATGAAACATTTTTACAAAGGCGTTTATTTAGGCCTGCTAAAGCCTCCTTAGCCCCCCCTCCCCTCCCCTTAATTATACCATTGCATTTTAGGTTGTATTTTTTTAAATAATGCTTGAGGTGAGGAATCATTTAACTTAATATTTTTTAATATAATAAAACTTAATGAAAGCACGAAAAAGGATCGATTGATATGCTTCGCCATATACATAATAAGCATGAAGAGCTAAAAGAAAATTTTTGTAAATTCGGGATAGAGGGACGCAATTTTTTATTTATATTGGAGTTAATTGCTGGTCCTCTTTGCGAACTCATGGGAGAATCGGACACTTTTAAATGCCATAAAATCGACAAAAATCAATCTACCCGAGAATCCAAGCGCATTAAGCGCAGCAATTCTATTTCATTTAATCATTGTGTTAACCCACTACACGAAAATGTAATTTACAAATTGAAACATATAATAATGTTTTTTTTACAGGGATGGAAATATCTTGGGAGAGATAAAGAAAAAAGTTTTTTATACGAGGTATAACTTTTACTTCATGAAACTATCTTAAAATGCACGACTCGACCACAGGATATGATTTGCAATAATGCAAATACAACTAGCGTTAGATACCTTTATTCGATTGAGAAATGATTGTTTTAGTATACAAAAAAAATGAATATTTCATTGGATAATTTCAATACTAAAATATAATGGGTGGCGCAATAAAAACGTTTTCCACTCTTTTTTTGATATTTATTATTTTACTATGTGTATATAACTCAATATCCTCAATTTTTTTAGAATTTGATTGAGTCAAGAAAATTTAGATCACAGAGGCTAAAATTTGACAAAAAATGATTGACCACCAAATTTTTACTTATGGTAGAGTTGTGTGTTTTAAAATAGTTATTGTTATCGGAGACCTGTAGAGTTTTTTTATGTCAGTTCAATATTTGAAAAAATTAAGCATTTTTAGGTCCGGGCCTAGATTTAAAAGAAATTTTTATTCGTATTCAAACCTAGTCCACCCCGGACTTTCAAAATTTTGTCATTTTAAATAATTTTGTTTGTATTGTAATTTTTTCAAAGAGAAATTGAAATACGAGCAGCAAATGAAATATTTGATCTATATGATTTTTAAACTGGCGAATTTATATAATTAATATTTATCAAAGACCTGCAGGGCCAAAAGCAAGTTTAAAAAAATTTAAATATCGGGGCCGGACCTGCACGGTTTTTTTAAAAAATTATAATTATATCAATATTAATCAGTTGTAAAAGGTTGTAAAATCATATAATGAAATGCTTAATATTTACGTACTGCTCATATTTTCAATTTCCCTTTAAAACAAAATTTTAAAAATCCGAGCCTGGCCAAAAAATTATCAAAAAAACAGGGCCAGGTAAAAAAAAAAATTTTTTAAATATCTCGAACCGTTTTGAAAATATAAAAATTTTCAAAAATCTGTGTTAGGCATGTCTGATATTTCAAAAAAAAAAATTAGGCCCGACATGGGTTTTGTACTTTGTTTTAATACTTTTCGGGTTCCCGGACCTTCAGGTTTCTGATTATTATGAATTATTTGGCCATATTCATCCTGAGATTTTAAGTCTTATGTTCATTTTTTGCTTAAATCAAATCCATTAAACAAGAAGCAAGTTGGTAATATTAGTACAAGAAAGCCATTTTCTGATTGTTTGCTTTGTAAAAATAACTAATATTATATTTCTTTTAATAAAAATTTTTACTTTTGGTTCCTTGGATTAATTTTACATCTTATTAAAACTATAATTTACATTTTTTTAGATAGTTGCTAATCATAAAACTGGCGTGGATGTAGATAAATGGGATTATTTTGCTAGAGATTGTCATCATTTAGGCATTAAAAATAGTTTTGATCACAATAGACTTTTAAAATTTACTAGGGTCATAAATGATGACGATGGTTTCTTAACCATATGCTTTAGAGATAAGGTATAATGTACGATTTAATTTATCGTGTAAATTAATTGTTATTTAAAGGAAGCTAAAAATTTATATGACATGTTTCATACTCGAGACACACTACATAGGAAGGCATATAAACATAGAGTCTCAAATATCATCGAACTAATGTATATTCTTCTATTATTCCTAATATTAAAATTATTTAAAAAATATTTTTAATTGATTGATTAGAAAAAACGGGATATCAAATTTTTTAAAAAATATTTATAGAACCTTTCATTGTTTGATTATTGCTGGTTCTAACTAGACCAGGGTAAGCAATTCACTAATTAAATAATACATTTTCATAAAAAATAAAAAAAATTATCAAAATATTTCTATTAAAATTGGAAAATAAAAATCGGACATAAATTTATGGCTTTTTTCACAAAAGAAACCATTTTTTACCACTAACATTTATCATGATTTTTTTTTTATAAAAACTATTGGGATATGTTATAAAATTTGACTACAAGTTAAAAAAAATTTAATCTTAATAAAAAGTAAATGCGCCGTTAAAATGGAAATACCAGTTTAGAAAGTCGAGTTAGAACCTTATAATAATCATACATTTAATTAAAACTTTTTCCCTTTATTTCGATTTTAGATTCTCAGAACTAAAAATATAAATGAAAAAAAGTAATAGTAATTAATCTTTCTTTAAAGCATAGCGCAATCAATTTTTTTACTCAAGGCAGAATATAATTTTTTATTTTTTGTCTATCTATATAAATTATATATTATTGCTAATACAGGATTACTGAGGCGTTGGCTCTTGCGAATGATTATATATTCTATCCTGGTATAGGAGGGTTTATTAAAAATGAATTAATTATATAAATAATATAATTTATTTAGTCAAAAGTTGAAAATGACTGAGGCCATAAACGATATGGTGGCCTATACACATTTAACTGATTTCGTTTATTACCAGATATTAAACTCTGATAATCCTAATATACTTGAAGCTAAGAAAATATTAGAGAGAATAGAAAATAGAAAATTATACAAATATATAGGAAGAATAGAATATCATTTGCCAATCGAACCAACAAATGTAATTATAAATAAACATTATATATTATTTTTTATGATTTTTGAATTTTTAGGCTTTTATTTTATATTTTACTTTCTGATGTGACAGACATATAAGACAAAAAATTGTTTAGTTTTGGTGTAGATAATCGGGTTGGTTTGGTACCGAGGAGGGGTGAGGTTGGTATATATTCATTAGAAACTAAACTCCCTGTGTAGATTAGTAGGTAGGTACATAGCTACGATAGAAAGATCCCTCTCCATCATCTTGAAAATTAATTATTTAGTATTATAAAATATTGTGGAAATAAGGTAGATATCGACCTTTTCCTTGATAATACATATATTTTAAATATATACTTGTTTAGGCCTTATTATATTTTTTTAGTTGAATTTATTTCACAAAGGTCAGATAAAATCCCAATTTGGGTTAGAAACTATTTAATATTTCTGTTAATAATGTTTTTTTCTTTAAATGAAATTCGGAAAAATTAGGATGGTTGGCAGTTCCAAAATTGTGGTATTTAACCTACCCAAGTCTTCCCCCCATCATTCACTATTTTAAATTATCATTATTAGAAATAAAACTACTATTAAATATATAAAATCACTCAGATTATTTTATAATTTTAGACATTATTGGAGAAAATTAAATTGGAGATTATTTTACAATGCAATTCTGAGCAATCGTCAAGCTCAAAATTTAAATTAAATGATATAGCTCTTCAAGTATAATTTTTATTTAAAAAAGCAACTATACTACGTAAAAATAAATAGATGGTTGAGTTTGATTATGGCATGGAAGACGAAAATCCTCTAGAAAATGTTAGATTTTATACTAAAGAAAATCCCAATGAAGCTAAAAAAATTCTAAAATCAGAAGTATAAAAATTATTATAGCATGATAGTTTGGTATTTGTATGTTATGCAAATGAGGCCAACATGAAGGGGGGGGGGAGGGCTAGGAGTAATTTGCATATCTTGCAGTAGATATTACACGTTGCTTTTTAAATATTTTCCCCCATGTAGGTATGATACTTGGGTAGTGCACATTAGGTAGTGTCATACCGAATAACCTAAAGTCCATCACTTTAATAGAAGGGATGTCATCCCATGGGGCTTCAGTTAAGCCGCGATGAATCAGAAATCTGTTCTCTCTCTCTCCTTCATCCCCATCCACATTCTTTTTTTATTTAAAATCACCTCACCGCATGACCTTACTTTTTAAAGTTCACCTATAGATTTAGTTTTGTTAAACAGCTCGATTTGAGCCAATTTTTAAAAATGGCTAACTCAATATTTTAGCTAGAAAAGTGTCGCCTAAACCTCGAGATTTCGCTAATAGATGTTTTAAATCTCTGTGCCATATTATTCTATTTTTAAAAATCCGTTTTACGAAACTAACCAGATTTTGGTTATCCAGTATATTTGTTTTGAGTTCGACTCCTTATTACCTTAAATATTATATTATTTATAAAACAAGTTAATTAGTTTTAAAATTCTTATTTTATATATAGGTTTCAAATATGTTGCCTGAGAATTTCACCGAGAGATATTTGACTGTATATTCTAAAAATGTGGATAATAGAGTTAATTCCGTAATATCAAATGCATTTTCTATATGGTGTTCCGATCACAACAATTTAAAACTTTTGGTAAAGCGCTATAATATGTTTTTTTTCACCTTAATTTTTGAGATTTTTTTTGTTTGAATTTATTTAAGATGTTACATTTTTTATAGGTATAGCGAATTTTTCGCTCAATCTCACCCAAGTAATTCTTCGACTTCGTTCATGATTTACGAATTATTAAGAATTATTTAGAAAGTATCATTTTTAATCTCTCCCGTCAAAACAATATTATTAAATTATGTAATGATCAATTTTTAAAAGAAATATTTATTGTATTTTTTTCAAGTGGCATAGTAATTGATAGTTTATTGAATGTATAATATTTGACGTGGGTTTAGAAATGTATAATGATTTCCGATACTTATTCTACACTTTCACCTAGAGTTGTGAATCCATGCACTAAAAAAGGTTTGGGTTGGGTTCAGTATCCCCGAACCTGGTTGAGAGCACAGAAAAATAAAGAATTAGAAAATTTATTTAAATTAACAAATATTATATTTGGTATATTATTAATTTATTCCTACAATTTTTGAATGTAAAAACGAATATATGTTAATTGTTTTATTATGTGAATTAAAAATGGAAGGCATTTTAAAAAATCATTAGCATACATTACTTAAATATCGTAGATATATCAGCAATTCACTCTTTTAAAGAAATCTACCTTTAAAAAAAAGCTAAATGTTAAAATTAAAATAAATTCTAGATGCCCAAAACCTAGCTGGCAGGGCAACTTGTTTTTAATAAATTATTTTCCCTTTAATTTTGTTATTTTATTTGGTTTTACTTTTAATTTAATAATTTAACGAACAAAATAAATATTCCTAAATATTATTTATGATATAAAGTTTTACAAAATGATGGTGGTAAAAATTAAATTAAAAATTTTTTACATAAAATCTATTAAAAATAATTCAATGAACATGTTTTTAAGAAAAAATAGAAAAACAATTCCTGATTCAATCCTTAAATTTAAAAAATGGACTCGAGTTCAATAAAATCTTGAGATTTTGATTCTCAGCTTTCCAAGAGATCTTCAGATAATGAGAGGAAATTTTTTAATAAAGGAAATGGCGAGGTTGAATTGGAATACTAAAAAGGCATTATATCACTTAAAACTCAGTCTGGTTTATATGGTTCCTAAACAGATTTAAAAAATAACATTTAAAACATAACCTACGGATATAAATAAGGTTTTTGGTGATTATTGTTTGAAGAGATAAGAAACTATCATATAAAAGAGGGATGTAAATTTAATTCCAATCAGTTCAAAAGAAACGATGATGATTGCTGTAAATAAGGAAGAAATAATTAAATAGAATTGAATGAACTAAGTTAATAGAGCTGAATACTAGACTAAGTGATTACCAATAACGGAATCAATCAATACTTTGGAAATAAAAATTATCTAGGTCAATAGGTAATAATTTGTGAATTTAATTATAAGAATATTTTCTTTAATAAATAAGCATAAATTAGTTGTATAAATTTCTTCTCAAATTCAAATGTAGTATGTATTTATTTGTTAATAAATTTATAAATAATCATCAGATATCAATGCCTACTTAACATTTTAAAGCTATGCAAAATTTAAATCAATGCCATTCATTACCTCTAGATCTCTTATAACGTCATTTATATTATATAGTATTTAAAAAAATTGCAATAAAATTATACAACGCGATATTTATATCTATTCAATTTATTTCCATTATACACAAATTATAAATCTTTATTTTAATTTTTTTTAAATGTTCTTATTCAATACTCTTAATTATACGCATTATATATAGATATATATATATTTAAAAAAATTTTATTATAATAAAATATATAGCATAGATAATTTGGCTTTTATGTAATAATTAGAAATATAAAAAAAATATCTAACAAAAATTGCCACCCCCACCCCTTTAAAAAATTTCCTGGCTTCTACTACAAACCCATATATAGTAATATTAAGTCCCAAAAACGCAATACACAATAATGATTAATTAAAAGGCTATTTCCAGACAGAACGTTTTTTCAAAGCGGTTTTTGGGTAATGTTACAGGCAATTTTTTTTATTTCCAAAATGATAGTAATTTGTCGAATTAATTTTTTTAGAAAATATAATATTTGAAAATTAAATGACGTCTGAAATTTGGATCCTGATTTTTTTTTCAATACTATATTTTATAAAAAAAAATTAATTCGACAAATTGTTATCCTTTGTTTGGAAATAAAATTGATAGTAAAATTAGGAGTCTGCAAAGTAATTTTTTCGCAGTCCAAGCACAACCCGAACTGAGCCCACTAATTTGGAAAGTCATTATGGTTTGTCTTCCACCAATTTAAAATATTATCATTTTCAATAAACAATTTAGCATCTAGTTATCTTTAAAGTTCGCCAGCTTCAACGCTAGCATCAGAAAACGCATTGTCAGCCTCCCATAGAGAGAAATCCAAAAACGTATCTGCCTATTCCATTCATAATATAATAATAATTTTAAAAGATATATATTTACTTTGTTATTTTTTAATTGATAATTTTATTATTAATTTAATGAATATGGTGAGTTGGTATTTATAGATTTTTGTCCAATCATATCTATTGATCGTCTCAGCATTGATCAACATGTTAATATGTTCGCACAAATTTTTATAATGTTCTCGGAATAAAATTTTCATATCTTTGGGCCCAGGTGGAATAAATCTATTTAAAATTTATCCACCATTATTTTCCGAAATTTTTGCAACGGCTCGTTAACCTGCGAGTTTAAATTTAGAGATGAGCTAAAAAAAAACTCAATATTTTGTGATAACACAATATAACTCTGTGAAGGATAGGTTTTAACCCTCTATTACATATATCATATTTGAATACACATACCATAAAAAAGGAATAAATTTAATATGAAATTTTTTACAGTTTAATACACATGATGTATAATAGATACACATTTTTATTTATTTCTATTGTTAATTTTTTCAAAAATGAAAGACAGCCATTAATATAAAAATTAAAATACGTAGTTTACAACTTTCGAATAGTGACATTTTTTCTATTTTATAAATTATGTCATTTCTCTTGTGCAAATTTTTAAGGAACATGTAGTTTAAAATCCTATTAAATAAAAGTAAAAGAAATGTTTTATATATAATCAGGGGTTCGAACCGAACCGCAAAACCGGAATGAACCGTTATGATTTTCTGAACCTTAACCGAACCGTTATGAAGAAAATATTAAAAGAGCGAACCGAACCGTTATAAATATTTTAAACCGGTTCAAAACGGTTTTAAAAATAATTAATTTTAAATTATTAACCTAAATTTAAAATTTTAATTTTCCTTGAGGGCATTTTTTAAATTGGTGATTTCTTTTCAAATTAAATATTTCCATATTATCAACATTATATATCAAATTAAATATTTTTATATTATCAACATTATATATCAAATAATACCAGGTTTGTTGTTTTTTCTTTAAATACTTAATTTATAAGAGATTAGACAATTTATCTGTTAATTAGATAAGATATCTTAAAATCAGACATAATTATTCTTGGCTAAATTAAATTTTTTATCTCATTATAAAAACTTGGATCATAGAATTTAAATGACAATAAATAAAATAGTCAGCAATATTTTAATGATATAATAATTTTTTATTTATAATCATTGTTTTTTTAAATTCAGAATTCTAATAATATAAATTATTTATTATTATAATATGTTAGTTAGCATTTACCATTATCATATATGCAAAATAAAAAAATATGATTAAAGAATGGCATTTGTAATGAATATTTTTCTAAATCTGTATTTTTAAATAATAAAAATCTTACTATAAATCGTTTAAATAAGTTAATTAACATTGCATTAAATTATTTTTATACTTTTATTTATTTATTAATGTGTTTTATATTTAAATAAACTTACAGTGAATTAAAAATAGGAATTACATTTTGATGTTAAACTAAATATAAATACTATAGTTTAACTTAAATTACCTATTCTGTCATATTATATTAACATCTAACAGAAATAAAGTACTGACCAATTTTTATATAATATTGTTTTACAATAATTTCTTATTAATTGATATATTCAAAAAAAGTTTATCTTAGTTTATATAGAATATATCAGAGTGGGTAATTTGAATTAAACTATACTAGTTATATTTAGTTTAACATCAAAATGTAATTCCTATTTTTAAATGTAAGTCTATTTAATATAAAACACAAATAAATAAAAGTATAAAATAATTTAATGCAATGTTAGTTAACTTATTTAAACTGAAGATTTAAAGTAAGATTCTTATTATTTAAAAATACAGATTTAGAAAAATATTCATTACAAATGCCATTCTTTAATCATATTTTTTTTTATTTTGCATATATGATAATGGTAAATGCTAACTAACATATTATTTTAATAATAAATATTAGAATTCTGAATTTAAAAAAAATATGATTTTTATAAATAAAAAATTATTATATCATTAAAATATTTATTGCTGACCATTTTATTTATTGTCATTTAAACTCTATAATCCAAGTTATTTAAAAAAATAAAAATGAAGGTAAAATTGTTTCTATTAAGCTTTTTTATTTATTCTATTTATATAATAAAAGATTTTTATCTATCATCATATAGCTTTTTAGTTATCTATTAAATGGTTCGGGAAAAGTCAAATCCTGTACGTTCCTATTTTAAATTAGATATCATAAAAAATCAATCTATTTGTAAAATAGAAGATTGTGGTAAGATCTTAACTGGAGACCATGCTGCAAATCTTGAACGACATATAGAAAGATTCCACAATAGGGAATTCAAATTATTAAGAAAAAAGAAAGAAAATTTGACTATTAAAAAAATTCAAATAACAAAAACTGCAAACCAGTATAATACAATCCAAGATGCTTTTAAGTCCAACACTACTACAATACAAATCAATATAAATAAAGAAACTTTAATCCGCTCCTGCACCGAGCTAATAACAGTTCGTAGGCCAATAAAATCAATTGACGACAAAGCATTTCGAAATATTATAGATCCAATAATTATAGGATTGGGTGGAAATTTAACTATCAATTCGGAAAAAAAGATTTTTCTCTAAAATTAATATATACATGGTTAATGATGAATTTTTTTTAAAATTAAATTTATAAAAACCGGAACAAACCGAAAAGAACCGTTATAAATTATAAACCGAACCGATATAAATTTTTTTTAAAAAAACCGAAATGGAACAAAACCTTTATAAAATTTTAAACTAAAAACCGGAACGAACCGAACCGTTATACTAAACGGTTCGAAACCCTGTATATAATAGATTGTTATATTCATTAATAATGTTTAAATTTAAAGGTACGTGTACCCAGATACATAATGCACACAAATGCAATATGAATTTGGGCTTTTTTGATTATTTTTTTATATTAATAAATGTTCTTTATTCGCTATCTATAGGCAAAATGCTACTGTATTCCATAGTTCTGATTCTAATCTTATTGGCTCATCAGATGTAGAAATTCTTGATTCAAGATCAGCAAAAGTTGATTCTAAAGGAAATGCGGTATTTCTACTATTGGTACCACTACATTCCAATTTTAAATTGTGTTTTGATAATTGGTTCTGTGGTATAGAACTTAAGTATTACTGGCCCAAAAGGGATATTGCTACAGCGAGTGCTAATAAATTTTATAATTGTCTGTTTCCAACTGAAAAAGAATTCTAAAAGATGGAGCGTGGATTCACATAAGATCACATAAATGGTATCACCGTATAGTATTCCATATACTTGATATGATGCTCATAAATCTTAGTTAATTTATAGGCGAGATTTTGTTAAAGGTACCGGTAAATAACAGATGCCATTATTAATATTTAAAATTACAATAGCAGATACTCTGTATATTTAACAAATATATGAACGCTAGTGTAAAAAAACGAATATCAATTGACATCAAATATTTAAAAAATCTAGCAAGGGGCTGACAAATCTTATTACACAGAAAGAAATAAGACAGGATTTAATAGCACATTAACCAAAATATAGTAAAAAGGCGCGGTGCAAAAACTCTTAGTGTAAATTGGTTACGAAAGTGATTTGTACTAAATATGGTGTATCATTATTTGTTTTAAATTATTTCACGAAAATTAATATAAATTTGTTTTATAATAAAATTATATGTCTTTATTTTGTAATTGGTTTGAAATTGAAAAAATATGATACTTTTTACACGCATTGTGTATTTAAATTAGAGATCTGCAAAGTTAGGCCCGGCCCGAATGGGCTTGGGCCTAATTCTATTTAAAATAATCGAGTTCGGGCCGGGCCTAATATTTTTAAAAAATTCGGGCCGGGTCGGGTCGACCTTGGAATTATTTTTAAATATATCTAAATTTATCAATTTTATATTGAATTTTTTATGTAAAATAAAAATATTTGATTTCATATATTGAAACTAAACGACATATAACATATATCTTTTATTTTGAGTAATTATAAAAATTAATTTAAATAAATTCGGGCCGGGTCTGTAAATTTTTTTTAAAATAATTTCGGATTCGGGCCGAGCCGGCAAAACTTTTTTAAAAAAAATTTAGGGCCGGGCTTGAAAAATTAGACCCGATGCAGATCACTAATTTAAATACACTAAAATTTAAAAAAAATTATATCATTTATTGATATGTCGCGCAATAGAGGGTTAAATCACCCTCAAGTTCATCACTCGCAATTTTAAAAGGTATCAGAAACTTGATAAGGTCCCATCTATATTTAAAAGCCT